ATGCATAGTGAAGCAAATAGAACCAGGAGGGCATTGTACATAAGAACAGCAATATTATTCAATGAAAAATTGTGAATGACTTAGCTATTCTCAGTAATACAGTGATCCAAATCAATCCCAAAGGATTAATGCGAAAGCATACTATCCACCTTCAGAGAAAGAACTGATATTGATTTAATACAGATTGAAGCATGCTATTTTTCACCTTTTTCTTTTCTTTTATTTGAGTTGTCTTGTACAAAAGGACTAATAAGGAAATGTTTTACATAATTGCTCATGTATAACCTAAACTGATTGCTTACTGTCTGAGAGTGGAGGGGAGAGGGAGGAATAGAATTTGGTTAAAACTTTTTTAAAAAAAGTTTTTTAAAATGGTAGGGAAAGAGATGGGTTTTTCTGTCTACAGTCTCGTATGGCTCTCTGTTTAACCTCTGTCAGCAAGGTATTGATGACATATTGCAATACTAAGTGATATATTTTCTTTCTATATTATAAAATATGTTAGATCTGCCTAAAACCACAAGTTCTTCATGGACTTCTCAGAATGAATTAACTTATCTTCCTAAAGTTATTGAAGAATGGAAATAATAGCAATTAAAAATGAATCTCTGCCTTTTAAGTGCACAGTTTATTATATTTCACATCTTTTAAGACATGCTTTTGAAGAACCTGAATGGTGTGATCCTCGAATCCAGTTTATGCTTTCTTATTTTTCTGCTGTGGTAGTATAGGTACCAGGTAGCATTTGGATGCCTTTATATTTGAAAGTGTTATATAAAATAAAGACTGTGGCCATGGATAGAAACTAAAATGCAAACTTTTCTTGTTTTCTAAATTATTACCAAATTTGGAATTGTAATGAATGTTATTGCTTTGAAACACGTGCCATCTTGTTTCCCCAAATACTATTGTTCCTGTAGAGGAGAGTGGGGAGGAAGTGTGGGTTTGTTGACTGGTGGGGGGTGAGGGAGGAGCTGAGAGTTTAAGTGATTTGCCCATTTAAAGTGACCTTATCAGTTTCCCTATTCAGTTATCTGACTCTGTGCAGGCAACTGAATGAATCTAGTATATGTCAATGGCAGGATTGACCTTCAGTCTTCCTGACTCCCACCTAAGTGATTTGCCTACTAGGTCATACTAGATCTATTTGTTTCCCTCATTGTAGCTTTTCCCCATTTTGATAGGCCTAGATTCTTTAAGACTAGAGCAATTATGCCTCTTTCCTTTTACAAATCATAAAATCAGCTCTAGGTTTTGTCTCAATAATAATATACATACGTTTACATACTGTTCTATAGGCAATTTTCATATTATTTAAAGACCAAGAATTCATCCTATCTTTCCTTCCCTAATTTTCCTTACCTTCCCCCAAACCTTTATTTACCTTCCTTGTTTTTTTCATATTAGGTCTGTTTCTGATGATCTGATTACATTCCTTAAGAAACTTGGCTTAGGCATATACCCTTTCATTTGAAGTTCTGTGGTTATTAATTTTATTTAATTTTACCATAAGCCATACTATGTTCAATTCAATTCACTAAGCATTTATTAAATTGTGGCAAGCACTATGCTAACCTCTTGGGGATACAAAAAGAGGCAAAAGATAGTCCCTACCCTCAAGGAGTTTTCAGTCTAATGGAAGAGATACCATGCAGATTTATACAAAGCAAGCCTTACACAAGATAAATAAGAAATAATTAACAGATGGAAGGTACTGGCATTAAGAGGGATTAGGGAGTTTACAGTAGGAAATGAGATTCCCACACTTAAAGACACCACCTTTCTTCTGTTAAAAATCAAAAAGAATTAAGGAATTCTCCTGACTACTGACTCCCTATACATATTTCCTATACATATATCTACATACACCCTTCACTTAAAACTCTCCTCTTTTCCAAAAGATGTTAAATTCTGGGGGTGAATTATTTTATTATTCTGGTCTATTTTATCTTGAAAGTTTTGATATTGCTTAGTGTTGTATTAGCCTGTATTATGCTAGAGTTTGAAAGACTAGTAGGCAAATAATAATGATTATTAATATGATTAGCAGTTACATAGTTCTTTCATTGTAACAAACCTATAAAGCTATGTAGTAGTACAAGTATCATTATCTCTCATTATAGCGAAGGGAACTGAGGTTCAGAAGGGTTGAGTGAATTGCCTTGGCAATACAAAATGTCAGAGCTGGCACATGAACTCATGTCACATCTGCATAGTGGTAGTAGGAGATAGCAAGGTGCACTAGAGAGAGTGCTAAATGTAGGGTCTAAGGACCTGACTTTATTAACTTCAGCAAGTCACTAAACCACTCTTGCCCTCGGCTGTAAATGCAGGGAGTTGGATTAAATGGAACATTCTTTCAACTACACATCTCTGATTCTATGATGTCTTGATTCCAGTGTTCTTCTACATCTGATATGCAAATCTTCTGAATTAACTGACCAGCATTTATGGGACCATAGTTTTGGAGTTGTAAAGGACATTAATTAGTGTCCACATCTCCTTTTTATTGCCTATTAAGAAGTTACAAGTTAACTCCAATTTTTATTGTATATTCAAGTGATACATTTTAACTGTTTTGCCAAAGACCTTAACCTGAACCTAAGTGTGTGATGTCTGCAGTTTTGATCTGATTTGGGATCAGTCCCTGCCATAGAAATATCACTCTTGTTGTCTTTTACCATAATTTGTCCTATTCCTTATGTGCCTTTTTTTCTTTTTGGCTAGGCAATGGGGTAAGTGACTTGCCCAGGGTCACACAGCTTGACACATAGTGTCAAGTGTCTGAGGTCAGATTTGAACTCAGGTCCTCCTGGCTCCAGGGCCAGTGCTCTATCACTTTCCTGCTTTTCTTTCCCCACATTAAAATATAAGCTCCTTGAAGACAGAAATTGTTTAATTTATTATATTTATGTCCCCAGTGCTGAGCACATAGCACACTTAATAAATGGTTGATTGTCTAGTGAAATTCTCTGTTCTGTAGGTTTTTTTCCTGCATTTTTTTTCTTTTTATTTCTGACAGGGCTAGAAGAGAATTAAGTACATCAGACCATATCTAAAACATCCTCAGATTGCCAAATTTGTCATTTCTACTTTCACAGTATCTCTCCTATGTGTCTCCTTTCATCTCACAGAGCCACTACCCTAATTTAGGCCTTCATCCCCTTACCATGATGTTTACAATGGCCTCATATTTGGTCTCACTGCTTCAAGTCTCTCTTCTCTTCCTCCACACAGCTGACAAAGTAATTTATCTATTGATTAAGAAGTTTCCTCACATTCTAGCCTCTTTCTGCATTTCAAGCATTCTCACATTTAACTTCCTACATGTACTCTACATTCCAGTTCTTGACACACAAATTCTCATCTCTTATTTCCATGTTTCTTTGCATTGACTGTCCCCTGTGCCTGGAATGTGCTAGCTGCTCACTTCCCCTTCTTGACAGCGTTAGCTTCTTTCAAGACTCAGCTCAGATGTGACCTCCTACAGGTGTTCCTGGTTCTCTCTAGCTAACTGAGTGTTCTTCTCTAAGGTTATTTTCCTTCTCCTCTGCATATATTGTATGTGTACTTTTTTATTTACGTGTAAAATAAAATCTCATTGAAGACAGGGACTTTGAATTTTTGCCTTTCTTTGTATCCCCGGCATTTAACACAGTATCTGAAACATGGTAAGCATTTAATAAACGCTTTTCTGTTGATTAACTGATTATGATTCTTAGGAAAGGAACTTCTGCCACATCCCTCAGTGACCCATTCCACTGTATAACTGCTCTCTGTCAGATGGTTTTGTCTTATTCCTCACATTTATGATAGTTTAAGCTACCTTTGCTGTTCTCAGTGGTGATGAAGATTATTTCTTCATTCTTACTCATTTATCAGAATAGCTCATTGATATATATTGTGAATCACTCAATCAGCCAATAAGCATTTAATTCAACACCTCCTGTGCATCAGGTTCCATGTTTAAGAATATAAAAAAGAAAGATACATTTTAGAGTTTTTCTTCTACTCTTAAAAAGTAGACCAGGAAATGGTCTAGATCAGTGGTGTCAAACTCAGTTACAAATGTATGCATTTCTAGGGCTGCCTGCACATTGACTGCATGAAGCACATTGACAAATTAATCTTATCTGTGTTTTAATCTATTTTTATTTATTTTGTTAAAACATTTCTCAATTACATTTTAATCTGGTTCACTCTGTACCAGAGAGTTAATAGGCCCCAGTTTGACACTCACTCTAGATTACTTCTTCAGATCCTTATGAGCCCTATCATTAAATAATCAAAGTTCCTCAGAAAGTCCCTGGATTGAGTATATGGTTGGTTTCTTTAATTATTTCACACATGGTAAGCAGCCATGGTATAATGGATAGTCAGGAAGACCTGGACTCATGTTCTGTCTCTTAACATATACACTTATTGTGTGACCCTATGCAAAGAAAAGGTGCCAGCCTACATTGGTAAAGGAAGTTTCCTTATCTGAGATTCCCTGAATCATTGAAATCATATCTAGTCCCTATCCCTTTGGGAGAGCAACCTAAGCAAACCAGATTTCTGGCCTTCTGAAAATCTGAATAACAGTAAATATGGTTATATTTATTTGGTCCCTTACTAATGCTGGTTTTAAATTTAAATTTTTCTAGAAAACTTTTGATATGCTCATATTGATTACATTATTCTGAGTTATTCTTTGAAATTTTTTAATTACTTTTTTAATTAGGCTTAGAGAAGAAGGTAAAATTTTTACTATTTTCTTCTAAAACATTGTTCAGATTGATTTTCAAGGGACAAAAGAGGCTGACAGGGAAGTACTGTTGTAGTTGTCTTGCTCACTGTATTTTGGACACTGGACAATTGGTACTTTTTTCAAAAATACACACATTTTGGGAAAGAGAGAGAGTGGATTTTAATTTTCAAGTTAGTTTCATTTCCTCTCCCCCCACTCATCCATTATTTAGTTAATTTCACTCAGTGTGCTGTTTAATCTTTAATTACAGGCTACAAAAGAAGTAATAGAACGGGAAGCTCCAGGGATGGCCCTTGCAATGCTGATGGGATCACTTAATGTTACACCTCTGGGCATGCTATCTAGGTAAGAAAGTAACTAACATGTTGCAAAGATTACTATTTCCATCTATTATGGGGTGGCCAAAGATCAGTTCATACTTAGTACTTAGGCAATAGGCAAGCATTATATCCAGCTATGTCCAGGTGAGTAGGGTGATTGGTCCCTCCTACCTTCAGATCTGCTTTGTAACCAAATACTTTACAAATCTTGGCACAAAAATAATAACAGACATATGCCCATGATTTCATTTGTTTTTATTTTGATACCCACAAGGGCGGAAACTGTACATCCAGTCAGGGACAGTGGAAATGATGCAGCTGCTTATTGCCTCTGGTGTGGTTACAGTTCAGTTCTCCAGGACACAGGTTTTTCAGACCTGCATCATTGGTACTGTTGTGGTTTGGGGTGCTGGGAAACCCTAAAATGCAAGGGTACAGGAGGTCTGCCTTAAAAGAATTCTACCACATAAGCCTTCTAGCCAAAGTAGAGAGTTTATTGTGCCACCAATAGAAATGGGAAAGATTCTAAGTGAATCTACACTATTGTATCACCAATAGAAGCAGGAAAGATTCCTAATGAATCTGTACAATTTAATAGGGGTAAGATTGGTATTTATATACAAGAAAAGACAGTGAGAAGATCTCACTGGGTTCAAGGGCTGGGTTGTGTGGGAAAGTTCAGGGTCCAGGTCCCATTGCCCCATCAATACTCCAGATGGGGACAAAGGCAAGACCTAATTGGCTATAGCTATTCTCTTATGACAGAGAGAGAGAGCTAAAAGTTAAGTTTTTAGATCCATTCCTAACATGTACTGGTTATGTGACCCTGGGAAAAATCTCTTTTAGCTCTCAATGCCCTAGGCAACTCTGAGTCTTTTTTTTGTTTTTTTGTCTTTTTTTTTTAATTCTTTTTTTTTTTATTTTTAGTGTTCAACATTTACTTCCACAAGATTTTGAGTTCCAAATTTTCACCCCATCTCACCCCTCCCCCCACCCCAAGATGGCATGCATTCTGAATACCCCTTCCTCTAGTCTGCTTTCCCTGCTATCTCTGCCCCCCTCCCCCTTCTATTTTCCTGTAGGACAGGATAGATTTCTGTACCCCATTTCCTGTATTTCTTATTTCCCAGTTGCATGTGAAAACATTTTTTTTTAAACATGTGTTTTTAAAACTTTGGGTTCCAAATTTTCTCCCTTCCTCCCTCCCCACCCACCCTCATTGAAAAGGCAAGCAACTCAATATAGGCTGTACATGTGCAGTTATGCAAAACACTTCCATAGTAGACATGCTGTGAAAAACTAACTCTATTTCCCTTAACCCTATCCCACCCCCCCATTTATTCTATTTTTTTCTTTTGACCCTGTCCCTCCTCAGAAGTATTTGCTTCTCATTACCCCCTTTCCCAATCTGCCCTCCTCTCTATCATCCCCCTATTCTCTTGTCCCCTTCCCCTCCTGTTTTCCTGTAGGGTACAGCAGATTTCCATACCCAGTTGAGTGTGTATGTTACACCCTCCTTAAGTCAAATCCTATGAGAATAGGATTCACTCATTTCCTCTCACCTTCCTCCGTTTCCCCTCCACTGTAAGAGCCTTTTCTTTTCTGTTTTTTTTGTGAGATAATTTACCCCATTCTACCTTTCCCTTTCTCCTTCTCCTAGTATAATCCTCTCTCACCCCTTAATTTTATTCTCCAGATATGACCCCTTCATCTTCAACTCATCCTGTGCCCTCTATTTATCTGTCTATCCATGTATCTATCTATCTATCTATCCATATATATATACATATAATTTTTTCCCTCCAGCTACCCTAATACTGACAAAGGTCTCATGAGTTACAAATATCATCTTTCCATGCAGGAATATAAACAGTTCAACCTTAATAAGTCTCTTATGATTTCTCTTTCCTGTTTACCTCTTCATTTTCCACTTGAGTCTTGTATTTGAAAGTCAAATTTTCTATTCAGCTCTGGTCTTTTCATCAAGAATGCTTGAAAGTCCTCTATTTCACTGAATGACCATTTTTTTCCCCTGCAGGATTATACTCAGTTTTGCTGGGTAAGTGATTCTTGTTTGTAATCCTGTCTCCTTTGCCCTCCGGAATATTATATTCCATGTCCTGCGGTCCCTTAATGTAGAAGCAGCTAAATCTTGTGTTATCCTGATTGTGTTTCCACAATACTTGAATTGTTTCTTTCTGGCTGCTTGTAATATTTTCTCCTTGACCTGGGAACTCTGGAATTTGGCTACAATATTCCTAGGAGTTTTCCTTTGGGGATCTCTTTCAGGAGGAGATTGGTGGATTCTTTCAATTTCTATTTTGCCCTCTGGTTCTAAAATATCAGGGCAGTTTTCCTTGATAATTTCTTGAAAGATGACGTCTAGGTTCTTTTTTTGATCATGGCTTTCAGATAGTCCAGTAATTTTTAAATTCTCTCTCCTGGATCTATTTTCCAGGTCAGTTGTTTTTCCAATGAGATATTTCACATTGTTTTCTAATTTTTCATTCTTTTGGATTTGTTTTACAGTGTCTTGATTTCTCATAAAGTCACTAGCTTCCAATTGCTCTCTTCTAATTTTTAAGGAAGTATTTTCTTCAGTAAGCTTTTGGTCTTCCTTTTCCATTTGTCCAATTTTGCTCTTCAGGGCATTCTTCTCCTAATTGGCTTTTTGGACCTCTTTTGTCATTTGGGTTAGGCTATTTTTTAAGGTGTTATTTTCTTCAGTATTTTTTGGGGTCTCCTTTAGCAAGCTGTTAACTTGCTTTTCATGATTTTCTTGTATCACTCTCATTTCTCTTCCCAGTTTTTCCTCTACTTCTCTTACTTGCTTCTCAAAATCCCTTTTGAGCTCTTCCAAAGCCTGGGACTGATTCATATTTTTCTTGGAAGTTTTGGATGTAGGAGCTTTGACTTTGTTTTCTTCTTCTGGTTGTTTGTTTTGATCTTCTTTGTCACCAAAGTAAGATAATATAGTCTGACTCTTTTTGCACTGTTTGCTCATGATCCCAACCAATTACATGAGTTTTAAACTCTTTGTTAAGGTAAGAGTAGGTTTCCAATGTGGAGAATGTACTGTCCCAAGCTTCGGGGGTTTGTACAGCTGTTTTCAGAGATACTTCTAGGGACCTGAAAAGTGTTAGTTCTTCCAAGGTGCTATGATAAGGGGCGAGGTGTTTCCTCTCCACCGCCACAACAAACTCCACCACGCCAGCGCTCCTCCTCACCCCAGGACTGCCCCACAGAACTGTGACCCAGATCCAAGCACAGGCAAAGCAAAAGATTCCTGCCTCAGCCCTGGCAAAGAGATCCTTGCAATCCCCTCTGATCAGCCACTCGATTCCCCCTTAGTCTGTGGGCCAGAAGCTCAGAAGACAACCGCTGCCCTTGGGGTGGCTGAGATCTAGCTTCTTCTCTCCCTGCAGTCACAGACTTTTCCCACTGACCTTCTAAGTTGTCTTTGGCATTCGTGGGTTGAGAAGTCTGGAAACCGCCACAGCTGCCCACAATTCAGTCCTCTGAGGTCTGCTCCAGGGTTGCTGCGGCCTGCCCAGCCACACCAAACTGCGTTCCTCTTCCCACCCGGCATGATATACCTTTCCAATCAGCCATCCAGGTTGTCTTGGGCTGGAAATTTGTTTTACTCTGTTTTTTTGTGGGTTCTGCTGCTTTAGAATTTTTTTAGGGCCATTTTTTATAGGTATTTGGAGGGGTTTGGGGGAGAGCTCTAGCAAGTCACTGCTTTCCCTCCACCATCTTGGCTCTGCCCCCCGGCAACTCTGAGTCTTACAGAAAAGGTGCTGTTGACATGGTAAAGGGAATTTCCTCATCTAAGAGTTTCCTGTATCAAGGAAATAACAAACCCAGTGACTATCCCTGTTCTTTTATTTTATGCTCTCTTCATGATGCAACAATGATAGGTCTTACTTCCCACCACAACTACTACCCTATACTATTCCATCCCAGTCCCATGACACTGGCCTCCTGGCTGTTCTATGAATAAGTCATTCCATGTCTCAGCACTGGGCATTCTCTCTGGCTGTCCCATGCCTGGAAAGCTCTGCTTCCTCATCTTTGCCTTCTTCTCTCCCAGGCTTTCTTTCAGTCCCAACTAAAAGCCCACCTTCTACGGGAAACCTTTTCCAACCTCTCTTAATTCTGGAGCCTTCCTTGTGTTAATCATTTCCTATTTATCCTATATATAATTTGTTTCCACATACTTGTTTGCTTATTGTCTTCCCCATTAGATTAAGATCTCCTTGGGGGCAGAGACTTTTTTCCTCCTTTTTGTACTCCCCATAATTAGCATAATGCCTGACACATAGTAGGTGATGGGGTATGGGCCCAAGCTGAGATCTTCACCCTTTGCCCCAAAGGGAATCTGGCTCCCATTTGTCTACAGGCCCCAGAAAACTCTTAAACTTTTCTTACTCTGGTCTCAAAAGGTTCCTTTTCTCCCTTTGAAAGCCCTTGCCCCACCTTTTCATCTTATTCAGATGCCTTTCAAACTTCTTCCTTCCAGTTCCTCTCATTATCTCTTCCCATTGTCTATTCAGTCTCTCTGACATTCCAATCAGAATTCTCCCTAAGCCACCTAGACCCTTTTCCTAGACCCTCCTCTGGTCACCCAAAGTTACTTTACTCTATATAATATCCACCCTGGCCACCGTTTAAACGCTGAGACTTTCTCAGGCCTGCTTGTCCCAACAGATGTTACTAATGTTCAGATTCCTTAAGAGTCTGGCCTGTATGATTTATCTAATAAACTTTTTCTCTGGCTGAAAGAAGATTTGGGTTGAATTCATTCAGACAGGGCCCGTGTGTTGTGATCTCAGGGTCCCAGCTCCCCTAACCGCTAGACCTCATCAGTAGGCACTTAATAAATATTTATTAACTGACTGACTTAGTTATCAACATTTTCCCTTCTAAATGCCCACAAATCATCCCTTTATTAATACATCATAGATTTGAGGGGGAGGGGAGGCAGAAAGGGAACACATCAAAGTCATAGTTACTCGTCTATAG